TATGTAATTAATATAAGATAAATTAAAGTGTTGTTTGTAATTTAGTTTTGGGCTAAAATGTACGATTTTTATTTAGAGACAAACATTTGTTGCATTAGAATTATGTTGTCGAGAAAGTTTCAGTTTTCAGTTTTAGGTAATATAATTGTTATTTAGATTTAGATTTCTTAGATTTATTTGCTGCAATTGAATTTAGTATATTTTTGATTCAATTGAATATTTGGAAACTGTATTTTGTTGTTTGATAGTTTAAAGTCACGATTGGAAAGAAATGGGCTAAAATGTACGATTTTTATTTAGAGAAAAACATTGTTGCATTAGAATTTATGTTGTCGAGAAAGTTTCAGTTTTCAGTTTTAGGTAATATAATTGTTATTTAGATTTAGATTTCTTAGATTTATTTGCTGCAATTGAATTTAGTATATTTTTGATTCAATTGAATATTTTGAAACTGTATTTTGTTGTTTGATAGTTTAAAGTCACGATTGGAAAGAAATTACGGTTGTATTATTATTGGAAAGTAATCGTCTTGCATTAGAAAAAAAATATGTGTTACAATTTTTGAAATTTGCTACCAATATCTTTAATTATTTTATTGTGATAGCAGTTAATGCTTATCGTTGTATGTAAATAAGAGAATTTCATCAATCGTACTTATCATGATTAGCTAATGTTTAATGGTATTACATTTATGTAATTAATATAGATAAAATTAAAGTGTTGCTTGTAATTTAGTTTTGGGCTAAAATGTACGATTTTTATTTAGAGACAAACATTGTTGCATTAGAATTTATGTTGTCGAGAAAGTTTCAGTTTTCAGTTTTAGGTAATATAATTGTTATTTATATTTCTTAGATTTATTTGCTGCAATTGAATTTTATATATTTTTGATTCAATTGAATATTTGGAAACTGTATTTTGTTGTTTGATAGTTTAAAATCACGATTGGAAAGAAATTACGGTTGTATTATTATTGGAAAGTAATTGTCTTGTATTAGAAAAAATATGTGTTACAATCTTTGAAATTTGCTACCAATATCTTTAATTATTTTATTATGATAGCAGTTAATGCTTAACGTTGTATGTAAATAAGAGAATTTCATCAATCGTACTTATCATGATTAGCTAATGTTTAATGGTATTACATTTATGTAATTAATATAGATAAAATTAAAGTGTTGCTTGTAATTTAGTTTTGGGCTAAAATGTACGATTTTTATTTAGAGACAAACATTTGTTGCATTAGAATTTATGTTGTCGAGAAAGTTTCAGTTTTCAGTTTTAGGTAATATAATTGTTATTTAGATTTAGATTTCTTAGATTTATTTGCTGCAATTGAAGTTAGTATATTTTTGATTCAATTGAATATTTGGAATCTGTATTTTGTTGTTTTATAGTTTAAAGTCA